ATTTCACACAGAGAAGCAGAATGAAATCCCTTTTACCTGAATGGGGAGGGGTATAGCTAGAGAGAGGCAGTGAAAGGGAAAGCGAGAAATCACCCCCAAGGGGGGATGGCCACACTGCAATCCCTTCTCCTCCATTCTCCTCTTGGGATTTTGGGCACACATACCAGGTGTGATATTTCACGCCTCTGGATCTGGGACTCGAACTGTGCTTGGTCATGTGGGAGTCCAGTATCCCAACCATCATGCCATCTGCTGGCCCCAAAGCAAGGCATTATTTTATAGATGTGACCTCAGGGGCCAGCAGGTGGCATGGAGGTTGAGGCGCTAGATCCTATATGGCTAGCTGCACAGTGCCAGTCCCAGACTCAGTGACTTGAAAATCACGCCGGGTACATGTGCGTGCATGCCCCAAATCCTGAGAGAATGGAGGAGAAGCCATTGCAGCATGGCCATCCCCTTGGAGGTGATTTCTCACTTTCTCGTGCTCTCTCCTACACACACACACACACACACACAAGTGTATGCACCCTTTAGCAAAGACTGAAAAATAAAATTAAGAAAAGAAGATGCGTCATCAGGATTATATGAGGCCAGGCAATCCACGCATGCAGTAGGGATGGCAGGTGGGGAAAGAGGCGTCCAATCTGACCATTCAGGCAAAAAAAGCAGTTTTCATCCCTGCCAAGTGATCATTGGGCTCTGTTTTTCTTTTTCATAGCCTAGAGTCCTCCTGGATTTCCAGGGACAAGGATGTCATGCACATGCCCAGTGCATTTGTGTCACTAGGGTGGCACCCAGATGTGGGCGCCTTCCTACCGGAAATGGCCTCCCTTTGGCTAAAAAAGGGAAAGTGAGGTGCCTGGGTGGGGTCTAGGGAGAGACACTCTGTGGATGCCTGAGAGAGAGGTCCCTGTTCCCCTCCTAGGCCACCCTAGTCAGGACACACTGTGCCAACGGAATTGGCCCTTTCCCTGATGACCCAGGCATGCAAAGCAGGTGCCACCTGTCATTCTGCACACCAGCTTCCAGTCACACCTCCAATCATCCACACATACTGAGTACCAGGTGTCTGCAAAGTAATCTCCCGGGCGTGGTAGACCCAGAGGTGAGTCAGCCTTGACCTGCTCTACAGACATGTGCGTTCATGGAGGGAGAGGACAGTCGTTCTTGGACACTCAAATCCTCCTGCCTGGTCCCTTGCTCCTGCCCTTCACATGCCATCCCTGGCTTAGGTCTGGCTGGCCCCTTATTTCCTGACGCTGGAGGCTGGGGACACTCACTCGTTCAGCCTTCACCACGCGAGGTCCATTGTATGAGAGTGGCCAGCACAGAGGGGGCTAGGGTGCACAGAGAGGAGTAATCAGAACACTGCAGTCCGTCCTGCCCCACAGCTGTAGCAAGGCCTGCTGGTGAGCAGGTGCCCTGCAGCCCCACTCCTGCTGCTGGGGCCCTGACCGGCACCCCTGCACTGGAGATCCCCAAGGCCCCTTGCTGGCTGGGCTCCACGCCGACAGAAGGAGCCAGCACCCCCACCCCATCCCCACAATTTGTGTCAGCCTGACCCACACCAGCCACACTGCAAGTGTCAGGGGGAGGCCACTGCTGCGTGCACGCCGACCCAAGGATGGAATGGAGCTCAGAGTGCGGCAACACACTGACTCCCCGGGGACCCCCAATGACCAACATCTGGAATAAAGGTCTGCATGTCACGACTTACTGCGCAGCCATTGAAGGTCGCCATGGAGAAGAAAATTAACCACATGAGAAGAGTGATTTGTAACAGATTCCACTGAAATTCAGGACATGAAGCACAATATACTTTATTTCATTAAAAAAAAAATACATCTCCTATGCATAGGGAAATGTCTGGAAGGACACACACCAAATGTTAATTAGAGCTACCTCTGGGTGGTGGTGTTGTTTTCTCTGTTTTCAGTATTTTCCAAATTTCCTTCAGTGAAGACGTATGTGTTCTGTAACGATGGAGGAAAAATTCCCACGGAGTGTATCGGAGAGAGGAGGGAGGCTGTTTCCTTCTGGCCTTCGACTCAGGTGGCTCTAGGCCCCAACCTTGTTCCAGAAATGCAGATGCTGTAGAAGCCACAGGGGAAGCCTGAGAGTGGTGGAGCATGGGCCAGCTTGAGAGAATTAGACAGGCATCGTTGCCCAGGTCTCAGCTTAAATGACATCTCCCACGGGGCCACCTGACCGCACTGCTCGACCAAAGGCCCCTCCATACTTATTCCATCTTTGTTTTATTACTTCATTTGGTTAAGTATTTTTCATTCAACCAGAGAAGGACAGAGCGAGGAAGAGAAAGTGAGAAAGCAAGCCACCAGGTCTGGGACTCAAACCACCGTCAGTAGTATGGGAGTCCAGCACCCTTAACCACCACGCCTCCTGCTGGCTCCCCACATTTATTCCATCTTTAACCCCATTTAAGTGTCTTCATAGCACTTGTTTGCATCTGAAACTGCCTGCCTCCTTATCCGGTTACTTGGTGACTATTTACCTCCTGCATCAGAAGGCAGCTCCATGAGTACAGGGACCCTGTCTGTCTCAGTTACTCTGACTTCCTGTCAGAAGGAGCCCAAGTTAGATCCTGGTATGCAAGGAACTGACGTCTTGCTGAGCAGCCCCCAGTGGAGGGCATCTATCCTAGTGCTGCATGTGGTACTGAGGAGAACGGAGTCTAGAGACAGGCAGAGAGCTGGCTTGTGGTGCCAGGAATGGATGAAACGCATCAGCCCGGAGGACTGGCCCTTGTGTGGGTAATGGGTATTACGGAAGTGCCAGCTTCATGCTTTACCTTGTGTACATGAGGGTAGGGAAGGCAGAACCAGCTTGTCACAGGGCAGAACCAGCTTGCTGCCCTGCTTCCAGCCCTCCTGCTGTCACCAGCCAGCCCTGTCACCCGCTCAGGGTTTGGCTGCTCTTAGGAACCTGCCTGTCAGGTGTTTTTCCTAGCCCTGCCACTGAATCGGGCCTGGCCACAATCACCTGTGACTCCAAGATACTAAATCTAACTGGTAGTTCCCTGTCCTCATGCCACTCGACCTATCACAGTGGTTTGCTTCACCCTCCATGAAACCCTGTCTCCCGGCCTCCCTCCTGTTGTTCTTGGTAAGTTTTTTCAGTCTCCTCTGCTGAGCTGCACGTGGAGCTCCGTCCTCAGGCAGTTCCTGTGTTGATGTCTACCTTCTCGGGGATCCTAGCCTGTGCCCATGCCTTAGAGAGCTCCATGCTGCACTCTCAGATCTTCGTGCCCAGCCCAGCCCTCTCCACTGAGCTTCAGTCCCCCGTTTTCACTGTCTGGAAGGCGTCTCACGCTTGACATGTCCAAACCTGAGTTCCTCGTCTTCCCCCAAACATGCTCCACCCACAGGCTCCTACGGTTCTGAAAATGGCAATTCCATCCTCCCAGTTCCTCCAGCCAAAAATCTAGGAAGTCCTCCTTGGCACCTCTTTTTAATCTCTCCCTTCCAATCCATTGACAAACCCTGTTAGCACCACTGTCTAGAATGGGACCACGTCGCACCACCGCCATGTACCGTTCCAGTCCACCGTCCCTTGTCAGGTTCCTGCTAACTAGCAGTAGTTCTGTCCTTCCTGTCCAGTCTGTTCTCATGATACACTGGGCATTCAGAGTGATCCTGTGAAAATGTGAATCATGCTGTGTCCCCTTCTCTGTATAAAACCCTCTGGGAGAATTAGCAGGTGGCATAGTGGTAAGACACTGGACTTTCATGTGGCTGACTGCAGTTCGAGTCCCAGAACCTGTAGCTTGAAACTCATGCTGGGCATGTGTGTATGCATACCCAAAATCTCGAGAGGAGAATGGAGGAGAAGGGATTGCTGCATGGCCATCCCCCTGGGGGATGATTTCTCACTTTCTGTCTGTCTCTCTCTTTCTCTAGTGAGCACACATGCCCTAAAGAAAAAAAAAATCTCTAAAAAGTCAACACTCAAGTCCCTACAAGAGCCTTCGTTTAATGCCCTGCACACTCTGGAGCCTCCCACTCCCTCTCTGATCACCTCTTAGTTCCCCTCATTCACTCCCTCTGGCCACCCTCCTCACGGATCATTTACTTTCTCAAATGTGTGGCCTTCCCTGGACACAGAATTTTGACACTCCTTCCCACCTTCTGCCTCAACACTACCTCCCCTCTTCCTTGCTTTATTTTTTCTCCATGTCACCATTTATTTCTTTATTGAGAGAGGAAGAGAGAGAGAGGCACCCTCAACGGGGTCTCCATGCCACGGTCCACCCCTAGCTGCAGCCAGCCGGGATCAGAGGCCACACGCACATGCCCAGCGTGTACGGGAAGGCCTCAGAATGTGAGCCTGGACCCTTCCCATATGGCTGCAGTATCATGGAGTGTTGCTTGGCCACTGTGCCATCACGCAACTGGCCACATGGACCACTCGTGACTACTGTGTGTTTATGTATTTATGTCATCAGTTAGTATCTTACAGTCAAATGCAAGCTCCCCAAGGGCAGGGATTTGTCTGTTTCATCCACTGCTGTCTTCTTAGAGCTCTAGATCGATGCCTGACATGTAGTTGTGCTCAGGAAATACCCGATGAGTGGCTGTATCAATAGGTTTCATCCACTGCTGTCTTCTTAGAGCTCTAGGACGATGCCTGACATGTAGTCGTGCTCACGAAATACCCGATGAGTGGCTGTTTCAATAGTAATGAATGAAGACATCGCCTATTGTTTATTCCAGGCCTCCAGAGAAGGTGTGGAAAGGGCACTGGGGTTTCTGCCAACATAGGAGCCTTCACAAGCTGAATGAGAAAGAAATCCTTCAAATCGAAAATGCCCCTGGGTAGAAGTCATGGTGCCTGTTTCTGTCTTGAATCAGCATGCAGCCAGTTTATATCTTATGGCTTTTTAGTCACAGATGAGTTCTCATTACTCAACGTCCTGGCTTGCTCTGCTCAAAGGGCCACCCTCAGTACTCTGCCTCAATTGTTTATTTTCTTTTTTTCTCCAGGTGCCAGCATTTGCAGTCTGCTGGAAGAAAACAACATCAAGGTAAGAGAACAAGAAGACCGTGTCTAGCGGGACTTCCCAGCATAAGAGGCCTTGGAAGGCATTTAGGGAAGGGCACACTGCTACAGTGTTGGCAGCTGGATAAGGAGAAGCCCCAGGGACTTTGCTGACTACCTGGAGAGAGTGTGTGAGCCCTTGATATCAGAGATGGCTGCGAGGCCCAGAACCAGGAAGACAGTGCCTCCCTGGGATAAACGTGGCAACCTCCCCCAAGCCTATTGGTCACGGGCCCACAGCATGGCCCTCTGCTCTGCCTTCCCGCCTCCCTCTAAGAGCCCCTGCATCCTGTCTTTCTCCTGAGGTTCTGCCCAGCAGGCTAGAGTCACAGTAGGCCTTGACAGAGCCTGAGGGCTTATGTATGTATGCATGTCTGCATGTATGTATGTGTGTGTGTGTGTGTGTACGTGTGTGTTTGATCAAGCCATTCCATTTTCCAAAATTCACCTTAGGTAAACCATCACATTGGTACAAAGGCATATGTACAAAGACACTTATAATTGCCTTTTTTTTTTTGGAGTGGTTTTTCCTATAGGGCACATGTGCTTGCCAGAAAGACAGAGAGACAGAAAGCAAGAAATCACCCCCCGGCAGCATGGCCATGCCACAATCTCTTCTTCTCCTTTCTCCTCTCGGGATCTTGGGCACACATGCACATGTGTCCGGCGTGAATTTAAGCCACCGGGTCTAGGACTTGAACAGCAGTTGACTACTTGGGAGTTCAGCAACATAGCCATTACGCTATCTACTGGTCCCCTGTAATTGCATTTCTATATCAGGAATAAAGGAAATGACTGAAACCGCAACAAAAAAGGAATTGATTATTCAAATTGGTGCATCCATCCGAGGGAATGTCATGCAGCAGATGATGCGTGCATGTCTTTATTGATGAGAAAGATATTTAGATGTACTGTTTTAAAAGAAAATTTGAAAAAATAATCTTATAAAACATCCAAAGAAAGTAGTTTTCAAAGGACTCAGCCTGGACAGTCGAAAGCCAGATCAGTCTCTTAACCTGGCAACTCAGCAAGTAATGTGATTTCCCTAAGCCTTTGTTTCCTGCCACTAGGATGGGCATAAGGCCCGCCTCATGAATTTAGGAGGATTTGGTGAGAGTAGCACACCTAAAAGCTGCTGCCCAGCCCAGCCTGTGCTAAGTGTTCAGCCTGTGGGTGCTCAGGCGAGACCTGGGCTCAGAGTACTTTTATCTGTGGATACGCCTGGAAATATTCTGGAAATTCATAGGCCAACAATGGATTTGTTTTGGCTGACACAATCATGGGTGATTTTGAATATTTTCTAATTTTTCTACAAGGAATACATGCTATTTATATTACGGTATAATTTTTCTAAAGTAAGTAACAATTCGGAAGAAAAAAAGAAAAAAAAAAAAACTACAAAAAGTGCATTTGGAAGGCAAGTCACCCAACAGCCCTTGGGCAGAGCTCTGGGGGGCTGAGGAAGAGACAGGATGAAAGGAAATAGGGAGAGCAGTGGGTAAAAAAGAGGAAAGAAAGGGCAGTCACAGCCGAGGACTGGTGCCCGAGGAGAAGCCGCTTGGAGGTACTGCGCAGACATGAGTGTTGGGGGAGCCCCAGTAGGAGATATGGTGACCTATTTCCCACCTGTCCCAGTCAGATGGTGATGGATGTGGGCAACTTCCCTCAGCTGCAGGGCAGCCGGCGGTGGCACATCTGGAGATGGGCCCTGCCTTGTGTCAGGTAGCAATATCTTCATTCTCTACCCTAAACCTACGACTGCTCCCCGCAGCCTCTCCTGCAGGTCTCTTTGGGTTCTAGGAACCCCTCTGTCCTCCTACCTGGGGTGGGGGCAGGGGGGGACGTGTCACGGTGCCCACTGTCATTGACTCCAGGGTACTTCTCCTCTTTCTGGGTTTCCCTTCCTCCTGCTTATCCTTCATAAACAGCCTCCTCAGGTAGTGTGGTGGGTTGGGGTGCTGGACTCCCACATGGCTGACAGCAGTTCAAGTCCCAAACCGGGCAGCTTACTTTTTTTTTTTTTTCTCTCTCTCAAGCATACTGCGTGCATGTCTTTATTGATGAGAAAGATATTTAGATGTACTGTTTTAAAAGAAAATTTGAAAAAATAATCTTATAAAACATCCAAAGAAAGTAGTTTTCAAAGGACTCAGCCTGGACAGTCGAAAGCCAGATCAGTCTCTTAACCTGGCAACTCAGCAAGTAATGTGATTTCCCTAAGCCTTTGTTTCCTGCCACTAGGATGGGCATAAGGCCCGCCTCATGAATTTAGGAGGATTTGGTGAGAGTAGCACACCTAAAAGCTGCTGCCCAGCCCAGCCTGTGCTAAGTGTTCAGCCTGTGGGTGCTCAGGCGAGACCTGGGCTCAGAGTACTTTTATCTGTGGATACGCCTGGAAATATTCTGGAAATTCATAGGCCAACAATGGATTTGTTTTGGCTGACACAATCATGGGTGATTTTGAATATTTTCTAATTTTCTACAAGGAATACATGCTATTTATATTACGGTATAATTTTTCTAAAGTAAGTAACAATTCGGAAGAAAAAAAGAAAAAAAAAAAAACTACAAAAAGTGCATTTGGAAGGCAAGTCACCCAACAGCCCTTGGGCAGAGCTCTGGGGGGCTGAGGAAGAGACAGGATGAAAGGAAATAGGGAGAGCAGTGGGTAAAAAAGAGGAAAGAAAGGGCAGTCACAGCCGAGGACTGGTGCCCGAGGAGAAGCCGCTTGGAGGTACTGCGCAGACATGAGTGTTGGGGGAGCCCCAGTAGGAGATATGGTGACCTATTTCCCACCTGTCCCAGTCAGATGGTGATGGATGTGGGCAACTTCCCTCAGCTGCAGGGCAGCCGGCGGTGGCACATCTGGAGATGGGCCCTGCCTTGTGTCAGGTAGCAATATCTTCATTCTCTACCCTAAACCTACGACTGCTCCCCGCAGCCTCTCCTGCAGGTCTCTTTGGGTTCTAGGAACCCCTCTGTCCTCCTACCTGGGGTGGGGGCAGGGGGGGACGTGTCACGGTGCCCACTGTCATTGACTCCAGGGTACTTCTCCTCTTTCTGGGTTTCCCTTCCTCCTGCTTATCCTTCATAAACAGTCTCCTCAGGTAGTGTGGTGGGTTGGGGTGCTGGACTCCCACATGGCTGACAGCAGTTCAAGTCCCAAACCGGGCAGCTTACTTTTTTTTTTTCTCTCTCTCTCAAGCATACATGCTCTATTGCAAATTAAAAATAATAACTATTGGTGGTTGCCACCTGGCAATCTGCCTGCCCAAGAGCCTTTTGGGTGTACTTTCCTTTCTTTCCTATTAAATATTCTTTTCTACCTAAAATAATAATAATAATAACTATTATTATAAATAAACTTAAATAAATAATTCTTTAAAAGAAAAAAATAGCCTCTCCCCTATTTACTGTGGAGTGTGCTTGTGTTCCTGCTGGGACTGACAGGCCATAGAAACCCTTGCTGATTTGCATCTAATACAAGAGTAAACAGTCCTGGGACCAGCAGTTAGCGTAATGGCTATGTCGCTGGACTCCCACGTAGTCGACCGCAGTTCATGTCCTGGACCCGGTGGCTTAAAACTCACGCCGGGCGCGTGTGCGTGTGTGCCCAAGATCCCGAGAGGAGACTGGAGGAGAAGGGATTGCGGTGTGGCCATCCCCCCGGGGGGTGATTTCTCGCTTTCTGTCTCTCTGTCTCTCTCTATCTGTCTGGCGAGCGCACGCAGCCTATAGCAAAAACCTCTCAAAAAAAAAAGAGTAAACAGTCCTGAGAGCCAGCTCTCCAAGGAGTCCAGGGTATGAGCTCCGTGACATCTCCAGGCTACTCAGGGACCTTCGTCACTGCTGTACTACAAATGACAGGGCAGTGGGCCAGTGACCTTTTATAAGGGAAGATACTACTTACTGTTGTGCCATGAGGAGGGAAATAGCATGTGAAGAAAGGGAAACCAGGAAAGAGAGCTAATGAAGACTTTCAAAGGGACCAGCAGTTAGCGTAATGGCTATGTCGCTGGACTCTCATGTTGACCGCAGTTCAAGTTCCGGGCCCGGTGGCTTAAACTCACACTGGGTACGTGTGCGTGTGTGCCCAAGATCCCGAGAGGAGAATGGAGGAGAAGGGGTTGTGGCATGGCCATCCCCCCTGGGGGATGATTTCTTGCTTTCTGTCTCTCTCTGTCTGGCGAGAGCATGCGCCCTATAGCAAAATCTTCTGCAAAAAATAAATAAATAAAATAATAAAATAATAAAAATTTTAAAAAGACTCTCAAAGTTACATGACAGGCTGGAAAAGAGCAACAGTTTTGGCAAAGGATTCATTAACTTCCTGAATGACAGATCCTGGCTGGGCCTAGAAGGTCAAGTGGATATTAGGGCACATTCAGGCCACGTCTGAGTGGGAGTCACCCAGAAAGGGGACTCACCTCTGTGTCAGCTTTGCTCTTTGATGCTTTGGCTCTGAGAAGTGCCTTCAGCTTGTCTGTCACTGGGGTGAAGACACAGCAGAACCCAGAGAGCCCCAGCCTGTGCTCACACCCCAAGGAGCAGCTGGAGCCCCGCTCACCGGTGCCCACCTCCCAGTGCAGCCTGCCCAGCTCTCTGGATTCTCTTGCCCCTCTGCTGTCCTTGCCTCAGACAGCCCTTCTGGTATTTAATTTGCATACATCTTCGAAGTACACCTGTCTCTAGGGAAAAAAATAAAATCAAGAACTCCTCCTGGCCACCCATTTCCTGAAGCACAAAAAGGAAGCATTTCATAAGAGCTTCTTCAAGAAGACAACAGGAAGGGGTAGTGTCACTCTGGCTGGCAAGGGTAGCCACTGTGTTGTTTCACAGACACGGGAGATGAGGTGGCACTTGGCTGAGTTCCCAGCCAGGGACTGCACAGGCAGACCCCTGAGGACCCAGGCCTCCCTCTGGCCCACCCCTGATAAGCTACAGACCTCAGCCCCACAGGACAGGAGGGACAGGCCTAGGTGCATT